ACTCATAGGGAAGGTCGATGTACTGTAACTTGAGGGACACTTCATTGGTATGTGCGTGATTTTCGCTTTGGGGTTCAATCTCTTTTTCCTTAGGTGGCGCAAGTGTAGGTAGGTGCTGTACAGTATAGAAATTACGATTCATTTCTCCATTCATGTGTCTGGAATTTTTTGTTGGTTTGGTTTGATGTGTATATTTTCAACTTACTTTTCTGCCTTAGATTTAGGAATTCATATGAATTCTCGCTATTATAATTGCATATATTCCTATTATCTCCCTCTGACAAAAGTTGATCTCGGGTGCATATATGGATATGAACTGGCTAAGTTGTCCGCTGATTGAGGTTAGCGTTTGTAAATGGACCCCATAATTTCAACCGAGATAGAAGTAGGTCCATTTTCCCAAATGTTGCTTTATTTAGACTATTAGACGATAAAGCAATCCCCAGTAATCCCGAATCATTGTCGGAACTCATTAGAACTGATTCTTTCTTTCGTTCTCATATTTAACGATCGTCATAACCGATGATCTGTTTATGTACCTCCATGAAATTCCTGATACATTATAATCTTGATTAAATGTAATATGTAATTCCGCAGTTGATAAAATGTTTTCTTTTGCAGATATAATGAAAACATACTAATTTTGGTAACATTGCAGTTTTAACAATGTACTACAAGGCCTCAGTAGAAGGAAGCAGATCTCTTCTACTGAATTGGGACAATTATTTGCAAGGTACTCGATTTGTATTTTCTTCAACATTTTGTTCAAAAAATACATAATGCCTTAATTTATGTTTGCAACATTTTGGTATCAAAGTATTGAAGGCATTTCTAAGATACTATATACTTCAATAAACTGAACATTTAAGGCACAATCATTTAGTATAATACACCGATGTCGATAACTCTTATTATATTATTTCCCAATACTAATTCATTATGAATATATGGCTTAAAATTATCAGAGTTCTCCATTACGAGATATCAGCTTGGAAATGAAGGAATATTCTAGTTCAGCCTTTTTCAATTAATATAATTACTGTAACTCTAGGAAGTGGTCAAAATTTGTAGCATTAAGTGCAGTGTATTCCGTATAATGAACCGTAACTGACGATGTTAAGTGAACCATTTTATACTGATGAGAAATGTCTTATTTTCTCTCCTTAATGTGACTCTGAAAGAAATGTTGAAGCATTACTATAAGATGAAGGAAGTTAGCAACCAGAGCAGAAGACAATTCCATTGCTCAATCTTTATCTGTAAATGAAAAATGTGCGTTAATCTGCTCACTGATAATGAAGCACCTATAAACGTAAGTACATAACAGGAAGCTTTAGGCAGTACCACAACAGCTAACAGAAGTTGCTGAAGCTAATAGAAAAATCAGAGTTAAATGCGAAAAATATTTCGCTGAAAATTGAAAGCATAAAGATATTAGTATACACATTTGAAGTATATTACGATGCACTGCTTATCAGTCTCAACCTGCATTACAAGCAAGACGACAGATACATGTATACAGTACGCAAGAAACTGCTATTTCAATAAGAATACAAGTGAAAGAGCAAAATATCATAGAAGGAAGAAGTCTGATTACTGTTATAATACACATTTTACACAAACTCAAAATTTATAACAATTCAGTGAAGTTATATAACATGTTTCCAAGTACCCTGCAAAGTTACAAAATTCAGACTTGTTTAACAATCAAACAAGTCTGTAAAAACACATTTTTAAAATTTGTACATGACATTATCAGTAACACTGATATTAAGAATACTTTTGAAGAAGTAATATTGACAAATCGCTACTCTTGTAGGTCATTAAATATATTTCACACGAAAAAAAGAATTTAACTTAATTTTCAAAAATGTTCTTGTTAACACACGGAATTCGTTTGTCCTCAGTTTGTATACATCATAGTAAAAGTGACAAACTGGGTTCTAGTACTTTTCCTTTGCAGAGCAAAATTACGACATATCTGTTACATAATTCATGCACAAAATAAATACTTATTACCATGGATGTAACATTCAGTTAAAATTAACGAAATATCTATAATGCAGAGTACGTGAATATTTAGCTCTTATTTGAAGGTTATATTCTATTTCCCGATTATTTTACTATTACGGGTGACAGATACTTATTTGGTGCAAACATATTATATTTCTTTTAATTTCATATTAGCAGATGTGGAGAGGAACTTGTGCGAAACAGTAAAATTCTATTCCTTTTGCAATCTATGTCTGCATCATAAAACTCAGAACGAATCCTGAAGACGGTAAGATAGATATCAGGAAATATAATACGCTTTCAAAGAAACCTTTATAAACTTACGCCTGTGCTATTTTTTTACTTTTAAAGTGGGTTAAGAGCATAAATTACATATATCATCATACGTATGTTCTACAAATATTACATGATCCATGAAAGTGTATGTTACCCTTTCCATGTTTATGCACAAGTCTCTAGCTTATGTGAATTATGAGTGAGTTCAACTGTCCAAAAATTAATCAAGTGTAAGTTTAACTCTCTGTATTTAAAGCATAATTAAGAAAATGTGTTCTCATTTAACATTTCCAGGGCTGTTGAATGTAAATTTGCAATGCAGAATTACCAGTACTAGATGCTTATGCTCTATATTTATCCACTACAAGCTTCTTACCTCAGCTCTTATTAGAAAGCGACTAATTTAGAAGCAGTCTACAAGATTATATTACCATGTTTCACAACAAACCGGATCTACGTCTGCATTGATAGAAGCTCTAAACATATCTCGAGCATCGGGTAAATGAACACATACACCAGGAATATATTAGTATTGATAACATTTTATACGTCCACAACCACAGGCATATTTGTTTTCATAATTTCTTCTGAAATATGAAAATAAAATTTCAAGAAATCAATTACGTCGAAGAAAATTTAGTAAATTAATGATATTCCGTATAATGTGCAAATAAATCAGACAGTCTTAAACGAGTGTAAATATTTTGCACAGTACATTCAAGATTTCAGTAGTGTTATAATAGAAACGTTAATTTTGCACGTCCTACACAAACTCGTGCTTAGTCGGAGTTAATAATATACTTCCACCAAATAATATGAAGGGTGATTAAAAAGAAAATAAAAGTATAAAGAAAAATGCTCTCGTGCCTTAGTTTCTAAGATTCTGTATTTTGAAGACACGCCATATTGTTTACAAAAATATCTTTCCTGTTTCTTTTCTTTACGTAAAGATCTGTAATTGAGTCTGCTTGAGGCAGTTTTTTCGAAGTCAATATTTATTGGAAAATACAGAGGATACACATTTTTAAATAGGAGAAAATAAACTGGTAACGACCAGAAAAATGATATCCACGTCTTCTAGACTTCCTTCTCTTGAAATATATTGTTTTGTGCTTTCACAAAGAGATTTTCTGTCGTGAGCAAAGTTTTTATTTCTACCTGATGCTTCGTTCCTCAGGACACAATTACATACTTAGGCACCCCATAATATGTAAAGTTGTACTAAGTGTTAAGGTAGTTAAAAAGGGCCCATGTGCTGGACTTGAAACACATATGAGTTAAATACGACACGCACAAGGAATCTTGGTACGGAGTGTTCTTGGCAAGAAATCATTCAGACAAGCAGCTAAGATACAATATCCACATATTCCATAAGAGAATATATGTTACTGGCCAGCACTGGATGGCATTTCAGTGTTTCTAGTGGCTGTGTTAGTGGTGTTAGTCCCGGTATCTAAAACTAGGGATTCATATTAATCCTGTTAAATACAAAAGAACATGCTCGAAATTCTTAAGAAAAAACTCCAAACATTCTAGACGTGTTAAATTATTAATATGGTGTCCGAAACACACTAATTTTCAGTGTCCTTCTAGAGCTAAAACATAGTGTTGCAGTTAGTATCCAGTGTGTGAAATGTTGTTGTTTCTAATAATTCACAAACATTTCACGTCCAAGCATGTAGGCCTCTTCTTATTGCAGCACAGTGTACGTGCGAGAATTTTGTGTTCTTTTTCCAGTCACAGTGGTTAATTTGGCTTTGGCTTCACCAGAAAATCTTTCCAGAATTTCTCTTAACCCAAAGACGATACTTTATTTTATCTCCTCACAGTTCTTAAACAAATTTAATTCAGAGATTTCAATTTAGATGCAGCAAAATTATCACAAAACATCTCTGTGGATATACCAAATCTGCATTCCAGGAAATGAAACTGTTCCGTTTTTCCCATAATAGGGTTTCACAGTTATGAAAATAGCTCACATCACCGGATCAGGCATACAGCCATCAAAATTGTACAGAGGGTTCATTTATAATAAATCCTGGGAAAATTGCTTGTCAAAAGAAATGCAACCTCTTTGGAAATACTGGAATCAGAAGAACATTTGTCACGCACCATTCTTCTCATTCTGGCACCACAAATTAATCACTGTGTGGAGATATTCTCGGATTAATAATCAGTCATGCGAGTGGAAATAAAACAAATACATTAGAAGCAGTACTGTGAAGCAGATAATGAATCCAGCCCAGGATGAAGTTCACTGTTGTTCCATTCTGCCAACAATTTTATTAGTTTAGAGCAGAGCAGAGCACTTTCGGTGGCTGTAATCATACATTTACTTAAGTCAACTAGAACTGACGTTTATATGAAACTTTCCATATAAACCTATATTATTTGAATTTACGTAGTGAGTAAAATTAGTATTAATTCCGTTATTTATAGAATCAATAATGTGTTATTATTTTCAAATTTTATATGTTTCAGAAAACTATTAATTGTGATAAATGTTCATACTTTTATAAAAGTAAAGTATATTTTTAAGCAAATCTTCATAAATTGAAATCAGAAAAGTAATTATTTCTGTGACATTAAATTTTCTTCATCTTTATTTAAGTAATTTAGCAAAATTACCATCCTTTTGTTGATTTAATTATAGTTCGTGGTTTAAAGTTCGATGGCTTCACAATCAGAATATCTCTCAATTAAATACTTACTGTCAAAATTGAGGCTTATAGTTGCATTACTCTCTCCTAACTCATTTTTCGCTGTCACTTTGTATTTTCCAGCATCCTCAACAGTAACACTCTTTATTTCCAGAGTTGCAAAGTAGGAATGGCCATCTTTGTCAATTATTAACTGAAAAAGAAATCAAAAGTCAATCTATTTCATACAATAAAAAACTCGAAATTAACTTCTAGCAGAGCAAGATAAATACACATGATTTCTTGAGTGAAGAATTCTTACAGATTAAAAGCGTTTTCTGTAAAATAATATATTTAATTGGGCAGTGATTGATATCAAGATTACGGTCTTTAGAATTTAACTCCATGAACATCAGACAAAACTCGACATTTAGGAGGAACTTATAGCTACCAATTACAGAGTCGAAGACTAACCAGCCAATGCCGGCCCAGCTTGCTGCCTAATTCTGCTGGTTTCTTGCTTGGCTTACTCTTCTACCATGAGGAAGGAGGCAATATGTTCCTGCGAAACGTCGGGCTCTCCATAATACCCAGATCTTCTCTGGGTTCCACTCAGCTTCCTATCCATTATGTACAGACAACTTCTTTCCCTGGGGTAAACCGGTTAGAGCATGAAGCTGACCACTCATGTCCATCTACTACCGAGGTCAATAATGGTGGAGCTATATACCTTCACTGCTTCATAGTCTAGAAAACTTTATGCATAATTAATTATGCACAGGAATAATTTTATCTTTTTACTTTCTCATTTAAAAGTATGGATTGCAGTATGTCGTGAGAATGGAATAAAACGGACATTCTTCCGTAACCCTGTGTAAAGGGGGCTTGAATCCCGGCTATCATAATTGAGTTTTCCTTTGTTTTTCTCTGATTTTGAGATCATATTCTGGTACAAATGTAACGCTTCCTAGTATGGCACAAACCTTTCCTTTTCTGTCTGTCTCAGTTCTTAGGTTAATTGGTAACCATGCTACAGGTTTTCTCCCACTTTATATAAGGCTTACCTACTGACTATAAAAGAAGGTAGTTAAATATATGAAAACAAAAACACACAGTCCATTTGAGCCTTTGCATCTTTGGTATAAATTCGGAACATTTCTTGGAACCCGGCGTCACAGGCTTCTGCTTCCTCTTTTATGACAAATTGGAGAAACCAAAACCTGGGGCGCCACAGTCAGCCTAATTCAACTGACCCTGACACGACCTCCAATGGCGTATAAAGTTATTTTTGTATGGTCTAAGGAAACATATTGCCGCAGCTTTTTCTCGTCAACATTCCATCTTTCTAACATTCTTACACATTTTTGTGACTGAACAAATAAACTTCGATTCTTGGTGGGTACATGAATTTTTCTCTTCATCATGACGCCCAAACTGCACATGAATGGGAGTGCCGGCAACTCTCTACCCAAGTGCCGAGGTTAAGAACGCGTAGAGCTTTACTTCATTTACTTTATTGGCCCTTTACGCCAAAATAGCATCATGCTTAGACACAAGGATATTATCGAGTTCACACACTAAAATAAGTCATTATTTGAATCCAGTCATTGAAATATTCAATGCATTTATCTCACCTTGTGTCTACCGGTGTTCTGCACCGCTACGCCATTGTGAGACCATGAAACAGTAGGTCGTGGGTCGGCTTGTATCCGGCATTCGAACAGAAGGCGTTTGCCATCCTCTTCTTGACGAATTGACGGTTTCTTTGAAAATGTTGGAGCAATGCCATCGATTTGTCTGTGAAAAAAATAATAATTCGTGTTTCATATAAAGCTATACTCCATGAAGACCTGAAAGTGCCGCTAGTAAAGGAAGTCATAAAAGGAAAACCGCAGGATACCTCAACAAAACAGAAGAACATGCGAACGTACTAATGCAACCGTTACTGGAACCACAGAATGGACGAAGACTAAAAAGGAATTGGCCAGCCGACCTGAGAGTGGGGTAACGAGGACTATCTCTGGATAAGCTCTCCACGTCACGAAGAATACTACAGCAAATTAGCTTATAGAATCAAACGTAATTCTGATTGCTAATTTTATGTAAATAAAAAAATATAAAGCTATATCGCTAGTTAGTGTAAGTACCACACATTTTTTTTTTCCTGTGGCGCTACAGCCCCAATTTGGGCCTAGGCCTACCTCCATGAAGCTCTCCGTTTCACTTCGGTTTACTACACATTCGGTTGGACTCCTTGGGCGAGTGATCAGCTCGTCGCAAGGCCTCTACCTGTAGACAAACACAGAAAAACGCACAAACATCCATGCCCTGAGTGGGATTGGAACCCAGGATCCCTGCTTCCGAGCGAGCGAAGACAGTGCATGCCTTAGACCGCTCGGCTACCGAAGTACCACACATAAGTTAGTTATATAATGACGTACTGGTTTCCCCTAACATAATATGATGTTAGATTTAATTATGCTCTAATTGATTGCATAGCTGAAAAAAGAAACATGTAAAGGCCTGCTTCGAATATGTATAAAATTTAAGATATTAATAATAAACTGACTTAACCCTTCAAAGCGCAGTGATCTGTTTTATCACAACAGTATTCATTTTTCTCGCAGACTGTACTTACAATTTTCAAACGATTCTCGAACAGGGTTACCTACCTAGACAACATTAATCAGTTGGCTTTCGTAATGGAAAAGAGGCGCATTTTCTGTAAATTTGGGGCAGAATTTTTAAATATTATTTATATTAAGTTCATCCTTAAGAGGTTTAACACTCACGAGGAGAGGTAAAGCTATCCCTGTAACAGGCAGTGGAGGCCCATAGGGCTGTCAGATGTTGAGGCTCCCATATTTTCTAGACAGTCGACTCACAGATAGCGGTAAGCTTGTCAGCCTTAAGCACCGACCGCCCTTTACCCCCAGGGATATTCCTGGTACTCATTGTTTGTTAGAGGGTGAGTCGACCCCAGCGCCATAGTGCGGCTGGAAGGATTAGGTAAATTGAAAAAAATCCACCTCATCGGGATTCGATCCTGCGACCTTCCAGCTTGTAGCATACTGCCTCAACCAACTACGCTAGCCCGTGGCCCTCACGAGGAGAGGAGTAGTTGATATATTCTTACCGAAGGACCTCTCTGTAGCGGAAACTCCATAAAACTGAAACACACCTTTGTCGGTATTTATTTATATGAAGTGTGTTTAACGGCGTTTGCTACAGTTCAGAATGATTACCGAATAATCAACTGGAAAAGACATGGAACGAATATTCGTGACAAAATTTGGTATACTATCTCGTAGATGAGCTGAGGAAACTCGCGTGAATGTGTGGAGATCGATGGCTCCAGAATGAATTAGGAACCCTGGAGGTCACAAATAGGAAGCAAAAGTGCTATCCACTCAATAGCGGCGTTTTGTAATATATGAGTAACAAATCCCCATTAAAATCTTCTTTTAACACACTAAGGGTAACTTGTTTAATACCTAAGTGGAAAAAGGTAAACAGAACTTAAGAGAAAATATTTCCTTTAAATTATTATTTTCGGTTCATACAATTCGTTACGTCAACCTTACTTTACCTACGGTGGAAAATCGCCATAACTAAGAAAAAAATAAGCCTGGGCTGTGGACAACATATGTGCAGAGCAAGGTATTGACTACTGGAAAAGCGAAGAAATAAAAATGAAAATTTGTAGCCAGTAACATTTACATACACACTCGCCTGAGGCACGAACTTCTGCCTTGTAACTGGGACAAGAAGTAGGCCTAATTAAATTCAGCGGTTATGTAAGCCCACTGTTAAACAAATTTTTGTGCTTATAAGTAGTCGTGTCTGTATGAAATAGAAAATGTTAAATTTTCTTGGGTTGCCGTTATAAGCTTGTTTAACGTTAATATTGGATGGTCTCGAAATTATTTATGTGTTTCTCTCAGCATAATTACGACAAAATATGAAGACCAGTATAAACTGAATGTAGGGCACTTGAAATGCTTGCATTATCATATTTTTCCTTTTTGAAAGAACATTCGTCAGATAATCTATACTATTTTAAATTACAAATTAATTTGATTACAATATTTCCAGTTCGGTGGAGATCTTTGTTTTATCTCTCACTCCTTCCCTGCCACTCTCATTCAAGCTGAACACTCAGTTGGCGACGAAATTGTAGGCACGCCGTTGTGCTTTTGTTACAGGCACTTCGTTTTAACACAGACTCGTTTGGATTGCAGCAATGCATCTAAATTTNTGTGAGAAGTTAAAAGGCAAAGGTGTCCCTGTAACAGGTCGTGGAGGTCCCTAGGGTTGTGAGAGGTCGAGGCCCCCACATCTTGTAGACAATTGGCTCACAGATGGCGGTAAGGTTGTCAGCCTTTTGCGCCGGCCGTCTTCAAGGCCGCCCTTTACCCCCCAGGAAGATTCCTGGTACTAATTTCTGTTAGAGGCTGAGTCGACACCAGGGCAATAGTGTGGCTGGAAGGATTAGATCAATTTAAAAATTTTAAATTATGTACTAAATAAAATTTGTAAGCCAATAATTATAAATATGGTGAGTCAGCGTGAAATTATTACATTACATTCGACAAATTTAACGCAAACAATATCTGTCCTTTAGTAGTAGAATCTTCACAAAAATTGGAAGACACTATAATAGAGCAATAGTTGTGCTAGAAGCACGTACAATAGGAAAGAAGGCTAACTGAATTCTGCTGGGAACTCCTTGCTAGTAATTGGAATGTGTATCACGTGACAACTATCAACCTCCAAAGAAAGAAAAGAGAATATGTCAGCAGAATGACAACCACTCACCAGGAGACATGAGTAGAGCCATCACCCAAAGTATACTGGATAACAGATATATCTCAAGCAATGAACGAGCCCAGACGTGATTCTAATGCCAATATCCCCTGTTTGTAACCCATAGAGTGCACCGTTTCACCATCTCCCATTGAAGATTATTTAAACCACATGCCCGTATATTTATCTGGTTCTTGTAAATGGTAACAAGTAATATGGTGAAAGTTACGCTCATCCCTGCGCATAATTAATTAAGCAACGTAACTTGAAGGTGCTTGTGGAAATGGACATTTCTTAACCTCGGCACTAGGTGGAGGAGAGTGGTTGGCTTGACGCCCCTGCCGCCTCTCCTCCAGGAAGAGTCCCCAATAGCCATTGTTTAGGAGAGGGTGTGGACCCCAGAGCGTTCTGAACGTTATGGAGATGACAACAATCTATTCCCGCACATGGGATCGAATCCCGATTCCTCGGTCGTCCAGACCATGGCTTTTTCACTATACTGACTGAGCTATCACGGGTCCGAATGATGTAGGAGTATGAAGGGAAAGAAGACTTGAGGGCCCACTCTGTGTTCCCTCGTCCGGACAGGGCCTGGCCCACGTCGACGGGACTAAATATAGAGCCAATTGCTATAAATGCATATGTTTCTACTTCTGTCCCGTTTTACTTATTTGCTCACTTAAGCTCTTACAGATATTTTTATTATTTTGCAACAATACTCATGATTCCATAGTAACGGCACTTGTATCATGTGGCGGAGGGACGGAAGTGACTGCTTGGCACAACTCTCGAACATCATGAAACAAACAATAATTTGTTTATTGACAAGAATTTACAAACAGACGCAAGGCGCTAAAAAGATTAACCCACTGCGTGGATGGTGAGGAAAGCTCTCTTTTGTGACAGAAATACCTTCATGAGAGCCAAAGTCAGGAAAATTTTGGGCTCTCAAAACCACGGCCGCAATATCACGTAGTCAACGGAGTGGAAGCACTTCAGGAAAGAAAAAACTCTAAAGAAGGAATCCTATTCTATCTAAAAGCCTATCTGCAGATGTGGAACTACGTTCAAATTTCTACAATTGCCTCCATACAGCTTTCGGAATCCAGTTCCCCGTTTTCTCTCTAGTTCCGTTTAGAAGAGGAATTGTTCCGTGGTAAAATCGTGGCGAATTCGTGACATCAAGATCGTTTGAAGTAGTTAAAATCTGACTTTTTTCTGTTACTTGTTAACATAATTCGCCATTAATGTGAACCAATCATTCAAAACACGCGAACGGAAGCTAACCTGCAAATCACTATTTCAGAATCTAGTCTCTGCAATTGCTGTATGGAGAGTCCCAAAAAATAGTTAAAACTAGCTCATATTTACTCTGCAGTATTATATTTAAGCATCCTGTTGCACTCCATACGATAAATGATATAAACTCCGTCTCAAGTGCAAACAATATATTTTGTGTCTTTGATCTTGCTCCCTACACTACATGTTTCGGCCTCAGACGGCCATCATCAGGTGTATAACACTCACGTCGCTGTCACACTGCACCCAGTTCAAAATTTAACATCTAAAACACTCTCCCTGTCATTATCAACTTCTACTTCGTTGATAGCTGTCCACCCGTAGATTACTTCACACACGTTAATTTTGAGTTTATTGTAATAGCACCATAATAAAATCTTTAGTTCTAATTTTAAACCTTTAAATTCTTGTCCAAATTTTAAAA